ATGAAAACGGAATAAATAATTTATAAATTATTCAGAGGTTCCCTTTGAGACTAGTCTCGCGGGTTCCGCGAGCTGCCTTGAACGTTGGGTACCGTTGCGACATAAGTAGGAAGAATATTTTGTTCTCACGTAAATCGCGTAAAAATGTAAAAAAAAAAAGAAACTTCTATTTCTTCGACCTGTAGAGGGAATTGTAGTAGTCAACATTTCGGACACTTCCTATGCGACAATTTTCTCCCTTTCCCCCGCATTTTTTGTCAATTCCCTTTAACCGAATACTATACTAAACGAATAATGGCAAAATGATTCCAAATGCTCCTCAAAAATTTTTTTGTGGATTTCAGCTGAAAATCCGGCCGCAAGATGCGGAAAAATTTCCCACGGGGTTTCAATATCCAACCAGCATAATTTTTCGTTTAAATCTTCCAAATCTGAGATTCTCGGAAATCATCGCAACGATTTGCTGAGATATTCATCAAACATAATTTAAAAAAACTACAGAAGAATATCGTTACAATGAACCTAGAAATAACGAGTTATTGGTCACAGCGGAATCGTTTTACAGGTTCCTGCCCAACAGCAATGATTTTATTTTAATCACTTTACAACGTATTTCTGAATATAACGATCCTTTTTTATTTTTACAAGATTTTACTGCATTCGTATCAGAAAAATACAGCAACGTTTCCATCACATCACGGACACCAAAATGTTCTGTAAGCTGAAGATCCGTAAAAAAAAATGTTTTTCAAGGCTTTGACACGAAATCCTCAGATGCAACGTCCAAGGGAATGTTTTCGATTAAGAGTATACGTCAGGAAAAAAATTCGATTGCTTTTATTTACATTTTTTTGAATGTAAAACGATCAGCGTTAGAAAACGAGAGCATGATGATGAGGGGGGGGGGGGGGGGGGGNTGATGATGAGGGGGGGGGGGGGGACGGCAGAACGGAAATCCTCAAACGCATACCACGAGGCTCGAAAGACGCATAAAAATCAAGATCGTCTCACGGCGATACGGAAAAGATATACTGTACAACCCACACACACACCATACACGGAAGGCGAGTCTCAAGGAACAGGGTTCATTAGAAATCAATTCGATTCACGTCATTATGCTGAAAAAAAACGGTCGTTTCTCGAACATACGTAAGATGCAAAACTTTAGGAAGTAGAAATGCTGGGTAAAGTGACCCTCGGGCATTTCACTTGTGTGCGCGACGCGTGGTATTTTATTTTATTTTTCTGCATAATATTTTCAAAGTATGCGGACGTAATATTCAGCTTTCGCAAGAAAATTAATTCAGGTACGATTCACAAAAAGCACAGCCGATGTTTCCCCCAAAAATTTGAAATACGCACAAAATGTATCTTTATTCCACTTGTCTCATCTTCAATTTGTCTCAATAAATAAATGTGCGTAAAATAATTTTTCGCGTACTGTTACAACGAGAAATATATTTTCCGCAAATTTATTTGTTGAGACAAATTGATGATAAGACAAGATAGGTAAATTTTGTGTGTATTTTTCATAATTTTGCGGAAAATATATTTTTCGTTGTAACAGTACGCGAAAAATTATTTTACGCACATGTATTTATTGAGACAAATTGATGATAGAACAATTGAAATATAGATTCGTTTTGTGTGTACTGTATTTTAAATTTTGGGAAAACATCGGCTGTGCTTTCCACGAATCGTACCTGGATTTATCTCCTTGCCAAAGCTGAACGAAAAATATATTTCGCGAGAATCTCAACATAAATCATGAGACTTGAGAATAAATTCGGCCGCAAAGCCCAAAATGGAAGGAAAAACGAATTCAGTTCATTCAAATCATCAGAAAATGTCATTATTAGGGATCTGACCTTTCCACACTTGGATATAATCGAAATGATGAGGGATCTCGACGATCTAGAGACCCTCGCAAGATTTCCCACAAAAAAAAACTTTCAAAAAATCCATGCGTCATATTTTATGTAATTTTTTCTACTGCAACACATGTGAACGTGTTCTCCACAATCTTACGAGGGGTCCTCTAAAAGGGATTTATCTTTGAAATTATTGGTTTTATTCCTCTGAATTTCGTTGTGAAGAACGTCCACCAGTAACAGCAGTTCATGAAAAAAAGCGAAAAATTGGTTTCCAAAAAGGTGGAATTTCAAACCATGTGGATCATGGACTAGTTCTTGAACACACGCTGAGTGGAAGACATTTTTAAAGCTAATCGCTGACTCCAGATTTCTTCAGAAAATCGAATTTAATGGCAAGTTGTTAAGTAAATTTGGCAGAAACTGAAGAAAACTTGGGTTCTTACACCACATCCTCGCGTTCCTCCATAAAAATGCATGCTTCAAATGTGAATCCATGTATTCGAGCGATTCTTCTGAATTTCAAGCTGCCGGAATTCGAAAAGAACATCTAGAAACTAAAGACATCGAAAAAAAATCAATGCATTTAACATTCAAAATATGCAGGAAAAGCTGAGGGCCAACACAACAATAAAAATCAGAAATTCCCCCCAACCAGATGCAAAATAAATCCTCCCGATCCCCAAGAATTCCCCGGCTCCAAACATGTATTCATTCCACACTCGGGAATCTCCCGGAATCTCGCAGCAGAGAAATTTTAGAACACGTCAACTGCACCAAATGAAGGACCAAAAAAAGAAAAAAAGAAAAGGAAACGATATAGAGGGGATGATAATCTCATCGGCGATGCGACAAAGCGTACAGGTGGAGAAATTTGAGCTCTCCAGATGAGCAGAGCTGCGCAAAGAGCACACAGAGCTCTGAACCATGCCAAGAATTCACGTGAAACCGAATCCTTCGTCCCAGACAACGTCTTGGCATCATCATCATCAGCCCTTCTCATAAAATACCACTTCATTTCCCCGACGTTACGAACACAAGCCATTGAGCAAATATTGAGGAGAAAATTTCAAACTCTTCTTTCTTCAAAATATAAATACAGTACGGTACTCATTTACGGAAAGAAAATATAGACGAAATAAGCAGAAATAATCAAGCTTGAATTCAGTTCAAAAATGCCTCCGTCATTTTAAGGTGTCTCGAGTTTTTCACTCCTCAGCAACCAACAATTTTACAACTGAACCCTCGTAAGTTTAATAAAGTACATTGGCAACAATCGAACTCACAGAACTGAAAAATACACAAGAACAGGTCGCATGGTAAAATTTCCCTTTTATTTGCCTCTTTCACCTCAGAGCAAGATCGTGTTTACGAGGTTTGGAAATGTTTAAATACATATGGACTTCACTGAAAATTCTGAGATGATTACTTCTATGTCATTTAAGCAACTGTCGGAAACATCCAGATTTTTTTTAGCAGAAATGTCAACAGCAAAAATTTATGAGTCAAAGAAATTGGAATACTCAAGAGGGAAAATACAGCTCATAAAAAATCCTACTTACATAAATAACACAGCATAAAATGTTTATCAATTAATAAGCGGAGTTTGAGTTTCCTAAAATGAATCGAACGCTATTTTAGCATTCAAAAATTCATCAGGAAAAAGGGCAATGAAATAAGGTGGCATTCCTGTTGTTTTCTTAAATCAACTTTTTTTTAAAATTACATTCTTGAGCATAGGCCACATCCAGGTTTTACAGGCCTACAAATCAAGTAAATTCGGGATATTCGCAAAGTCGAAGAGAGATATTTTTGCGAATAATTGTCAATTGTTTGCCTCGATTTTAACTTAATTATTTCCCCGAGAAATGATCTCCAATGCGTCTCAGAATTTACTTCCATGCTTCCAAGTACTGCGATGTGTAACATTAAGCGTACATCACGAAGCCTCGTTTTCAGAAAAATTCAAGTCATCCACATAGAAAAAAAATTGTATAATTTTTGGAATAACCCTTCCGAGGGATTATTTGAATATTCCTACTCGTCACTGGAGCTCAACGGAACGAAACTGACCGCGGGTTTTGAGCACTTTTTGACGAGTCATGAAGGAAGACCAGTACTCAACAATTCCTCTCTTCCCCCATCTTCCCTAGATATATACCCAGTCATATCCACACACAAAAAAAAAAACTTGGGAAAAAAGACGAAAGAAACACCTCGAGGCATTCAAAACAAACCAATTCCTGCCTATGCTTCAGCCTCTTCAGTCATCTCAACAGTCCCGAGACGAACGGAAAATTCGAATTAATTTGGGAACCCGTTCTAACGAATGCAACTGACGCAAAGGAACGTTTCTCATTCCACTAAGGGTTAAGAAGAGCACTTGATTCCTTTTCTTTTCATTTCATTTAGAATTCTCGGAAAGCCAGACCCGGATTTCTCAGAAGATACAGAAAGTGGCCTAGATTACCTAGAATTTTTTCGCGTCGTTTCTCAACCTTTCGCCTTCAATCTAGCTTCAGTTAATGGCCTTTTGCACCACTTCTGAATCAAGTTCGCTTTCAAAAGAATTCATTGGCCATCTGAATTGAATTTCCGACCGTTTCCTGTGACCTCAGAATTCCCTCAGCTAAATGATGCTATCTATATTCAACTGATTATCACAGGAATTATTTTTTTCTCCCCGTCGAAATACAGAAAATAACTGTAAACCACACAGAATCGGACTTTTTCGGCATCATGACAAACTCAAGAAGCAAGAAAATAATAAGAAAAAGTACAGCATAACTATACTTTCCACACATGAAAAACGTAGAAAAACGAAGCAAAAAATTAGCGTGGTTTTGAAAATGAATCCGGGGACTGTATTGTACTTTCGAAGTGAAATTTATTTTAGATTTTTGTGAATATGATTGGCTCTAATGTGTTCCAGGGATGTAATAATTTATAGAAAAATAACGTTTTAAATTTTAGAAATGTTGGGAAAAGTGTCCGTATCTCGATAAATTGCCCAGATTTCGTGGCAGATGTTTAAAAAACATTTCGTGTCCGTAAGTCGGATCGTCCGTACGTCGGGGTCCCACTACAGTATACTGTAGTACTTAAGATTTGAAAATAAAAGGGTCTCACCTTCATCCGGATCCACGACGCTGTTCCCACCGGTCACCGGCGTGATGTCGTAGTCAAACTCCGCCACGCGGCGTCGGAACTGGCGCCTCTCTCCGTCCGCCTCCACGTACAGCACGACGACGCCGCCGACGGACACGACGCATCGGGGACGTCTCAAGTCCTGGCCGTCGCCAGCAAGCAGCACCGGGCGCAACGACGCGCCGTCGTCGACAAACACCCGTGCCCCGTCGAACTCGGGTCGGGCCCGGATACACGCCCGGAACTCGTTATTGCTGTTGGCCGAGTTTTCGGATATCGTGTTGCTGCTGCTACTGCTGCTTCTGATGACGCCGCCGCCACCGAGGCGGCTGCTGACGAGAGTCACCCGCAGGGCGCCTCTCGGGTAGCTCCATTCCACCGTGCCGGAGTTGCAGCGGAGTCGCACGGGACGAATGCCGCCACTGTCGTCCGGACCGAGGTCGAAGCCGCTGGAATTACACGAATAAATAAACAAGCGAATTAAAATCTTTGAAAAACGAGGAAATTATGCCTCACGCCGAGAAAACAGAAACCGAATTGAGATCAAAGCCGCCGGAAATACAAAAAAAAAATTAATATGCTAATAAAAATCCTAAAAAAATAAAAGAAATTATGTCAAAAAAAAACAGAAACAAAATTGAATGCACGTCAAAAAGTCTTTCCGATTACGTAAAATTAAATATTCTTTCGCACACGAATTTAAAATAACAGAGGTGAAGCTGCCACATGCATCCTTGCGAAGGATGAGATGGATTGCATAAAAAGTGTCTGTTACGCGCGACTTTCATTGAGTCAAAACAAATACAGTATTCTTCAAAATTTTACTTGAAAAATTTCTACGAAAGGAAGAGGATAATTTTCTGAATAGTTGTAATCTTCAGATTTCTTGTCCAAGATCCCACTTGAAAAGGCGAAAGAAAAAAAACATACATTTTCATGAATTTATGGAAAGAGGAAAGCGTCTGCAGAAACCTGGACTTAGACATTTACAGTACAGTATGTAAAGAAAACCATTTCAAATTCAGGAAATATGCCAAGTTTTGCAAGATGCCTGCTTTCAATAGACAGTATAAGCAGTTTTTGGATCAATTCGCACATGGATGCATGACCTCGGAATACCATCAGCGAACAAAAATCATGCTAATAAGCGCTTAAAAACAAAGGGTTTCAATATTTTTCCGGTCTCATTTATTATTTCCATGGGCAACTTTTATTTTTTTCAATTTAAGAATTTCTCAGGGTACGCCAAAACTTGTATAAAGTTCTCTCCGAAAGAAAAAGACAGAAGCCAGACGAGAATTTAATAACGAAACCTCTTTCGTGCTCCAAGCTCGAAGAAATTCTGTGCGTAGTGTATCACTAAACACAATGCAAACGAATGCTGAAGCAGCTGAAATTGTCAGGAATAATGGACACGTTATGCAGCAGCCTCGTTCCGGCTTTTCTTAAATCATACAGCATACATAAGTAATTCAGAAAAATCTGACATCCCCACGTCAGCACGGGAAGATAAAAAATATTGAAAAGCCCGACCCCCAGTCGGTTCCAAGACCACATATGAGGGCGTCACGTGCCAGTGCCACCCAAAAATTCCAATCCCCCCTCACATGGTATCACACACACACCACTTATCCATGAAAAGAATCTTTTCTTCTTTGGGATTGAACACGGGAGAACTCATCACATGCGGGGTCACGTGGCGCTTTTTTTTTTTCTTTACATATGACCCAGAGTCGGCTTTTCCACTTGCCTTCACGCAAAAAAAATGAATAATCGATGATGACGATGATAATAATCATAATCTATGCATGCCTCACTCATGAGCACCCACATGGAAAGGCACAGAAATTAAGCAGCTATTCTACGAACATAAGTCCCAACAAATGACACGCAGCAGGGAGTTGCAAATTCCCTTATCCGTAGAGAAAGAGCACTTCAAGGGCAAGATTCGTTAAGGACTACCGAGGTGGATATTTCTGGAAAATTTCCCAAATCGGATGAAATCTCATCAACATCCATCAGTCAACGAACTTACTAAAGATATTTTTTGAAAGTTCTCGAGTCAGGGAATCATAAGTTGGAACCTTCAAATTGCTGGGAATTGTTTAATTTAAGCCTCGAAAAGAGCAAGTTCTGCATCAAATTAAGAAGCATAAAAAATGTACAAAATTTCGAAAAGCGCTTTTATTCTTCGCGGATGCTCGCCACATCGCGGTGCGAAAATTTCCAAAAACATTGAAATATTTCACAGAACCTCGTCTACCAACACAATCATACAGTTAGTCACATTCAAATTCCATCAGATGAGGCTAATCGTGTCAAAGTAAACGAGATGAGACAAATTTAAAGAAAACAAATGAATAATAAATTACCAATCTGATGAAATTATCACAAGAAAACTAGAAGGTGGTCGTGCACAAAAAAAGACAAAAATTGAAGCTCAGCAATCGATGAAGACCTCTTTTCCGGCGCAGAACACGTTCCAAATTGGATAATCGATGCAAGCGAAAAAATGCGCAGAAGGAATCGCACGGAAATTTATGGTACTCGGCAAACTTTCACACGGGAAATGAAGGAATCCCTCGAGGGAGCAAAGTAGTTTCCAATGTTTCCAAACGTCCCTCGCCGCTAATTCGTGCACATTCCAACCTGTGCCCCCGCAGATTTTCATCATAACGAAGCTCCCCCTAGTCCTGAGATCGAATGCCTTTTTTTTAAGCAAAGTAGTTTCCAATGTTTCCAAACGTCCCTCGCCGCTAATTCGTGCACATTCCAACCTGTGCCCCCGCAGATTTTCATCATAACGAAGCTCCCCCTAGTCCTGAGATCGAATGCCTTTTTTTTCGTTGATTTTTCTTCAGAAGGAGAAGTCGAATGGAGAAAAGGGCATAAAAACTTCAGGGATTGTTTCTTCAACGATTGCCAATTACCGAGACGAGCTACTCTTCGAGAAATCCGACAGGAGTCTAGTTCAACAACTTAAACATCACATACGTTCTTCGGGTCTGTGCCTCAGATTTTCAACGGAAAAACTAGGGAAGACTTTCTAAAACCGCGAGTTCAAATTTTCCTACAAGAGAACGAGAGCAGCCAAAAATATACTTTGAAGGAAAAAATACTGCACTCAAAATACTTTACTCTAAATATTGGATAATTGAGGGCAGCGATTCCCTTCAATCTGATAAATTTTCATTTTTTTAAAAAATTCTACAGACAAAATCGTCCACTGATCGACGGAAAACGTTTGATATCTCTCATCCATCTCTCTTTAGCTCCAAAATTGATAACTTGAAAAACAGTCATGAAAAACGAGATGAAAAATGAATAAAGCTGATGAAATGAAAAGTCCCTAAGTCTGCTCGACGTGTACTGTATGTAGCAAAACATTCGAGTAGTCCGGCGATAACGAGATTGAAATTTTCACTCAAACGCACTTCTCTTGCAAATCTAAGACGCCGTCTAATTCATCGTCTCGCCAATTTCCGCAAGTGAACAATATCGAGCTTTTCTCTGGAGTGATAATTGCGGTTCAATATTCAAGTTTGCACCTCCCCATACGACACTGACTACAATTGTACACAGTTGGGCCATGAAGTAAGTGACACTCACCTTCCAGACCAGTCGCAACCGTCCTGTGAATCAGGCTGACTAGACAGACTCGCCGCCGCAGTTCCAGATATAGTGAATCCAAAGAGGATGACTAGTACACTCATCAGAACAAGAGTCACAATTGATCGCGATTTTTCGCGCGATCTCTTGAATTTGAATCCCCGAAACGATTCACGCAGAAATCGCACTTTCAGCGAAGCGCCGCTCTCTTTTCTGGACTCCGACATTATTTCGAAGTTGCTCCCCGCAAAAGACTTTCGTTTCTTCTGTAGACGGAGGGGATGAAACACCTTGAGTCACACTCAATAAAACTCTTCGTTACTCTCGTTCACAAAACAAAACAAAAAAACGCGTACAGAGCTACACTCAAGATTCAAGGCACCACAAGGATACGCTAAAAGCCGAACACTGACGTGATCAGTCGTCAGATGAATTCCCATCACTTTCTCCAGATGGATGGTGCAGCGAAACATGCAGTAAACACAACTGATGGGTTTCCATAACGTCACAACAAACTTCACATCGTTACAAGATGTACAAACGACGGGTTACGTCAAGCATTCGCGCAATAAGGCTGACAGAAGACCCAACTTCTTTTCTTACGGCAAATGCGGAGTTTTGGCCAGGCAGTCTCATCTTATCATTTCGAACTGATCGCGTATTGTCTGCTGCTCATCCACGGATACATCGATCAACATATAGGTCACATCCGAGTCGCACAGTGAATATTTCGCTTGAGTAGGGAACACGCAGCAAATGATCTCTTCCCACACGGGCAGCATCGAATTCAACACTCCAATAAAAATGACGTCACTCACAAGTCATCACGGCGAGATCCTCCGCCATCCGCGTCTGAAGCGCAACTGAGGAGGAGCGAGCGGCAGCGCACTTGCCAACAGGTGCTACAGTACCCGTTACAGTATTCCCGCCTTGTCGCGCGCAACATCAAGATTCAAGGCACCACAAGGATACGCTAAAAGCCGAACACTGACGTGATCAGTCGTCAGATGAATTCCCATCACTTTCTCCAGATGGATGGTGCAGCGAAACATGCAGTAAACACAACTGATGGATTTCCATAACGTCACAACAAACTTCACATCGTTACAAGATGTACAAACGACGGGTTACGTCAAGTATTCGCGCAAAAAGGCTGACAGAAGACCCATCTTCTTTTCTTACGGCATATGCGGAGTTTTTGCCAGGCAGTCTCATCTTATCCTTTCGAACTGATCGCGTCTTGTCTCCTGCGCATCCACGGATACATCGATCAACATATAGGTCACATTCGAGTCGCACAGTGAATATTTCGCGTGAGTAGGGAACAGAGCAAATGATCTCTTCCCACACGGGCAGCATTGAATTCAACACTCCAATAAAAATGACGTCACTCGCAAGTCATCACGGCGAGATCCTCCGCCATCCGCGTCTGAAGCGCAACTGAGGAGGAGCGAGCGGCAGCGCACTTGCCAACAGGTGCTACAGTACCCGTTACAGTATTCCCGCCTTGTCGCGCGCAACCGCACGCGTCAAGGCTTGCTCACTAGCATCCACACTCCCCGCAGTCGCAAGACTAAGATGGGTGAGATTATGACTTCTCTGTACGTACGTTCACCAGAGCCCTCAACCCGGGTATATTCATGTTCACTCTACTTCGATCCTTCGACGTAGGACACTAAGAGACAGGGTGAATACAAGTATCAGTCTCTCTCTCTCTCTCTTAGCAACAGATAGAGAGAGAGTGGGGAGGAGCTGAAAAGCTAGTACTGTACTGTACTGCAAAGCAGGGCTGGTCAATAGAAGGTAGGTGCTATTGGATCTTGGCCATTCAGGAGAAGTACACAAATTATTTCATGCTGTTCAGGTGGTGAAGTCTTGAAAAAAAATGTGAAAATGTATTCTTAAAAGCACTGTATTATGTGTTCATGAGTGTACCAAAGACTGAAGTGAATAAGCAAAAGTTTTAGCATATCTGAGGAAGGACTTTTTTCATGTTTTTTTTAGTGTGAGAATCAATTTATTTTGGGACATTGACTTATGCTTCATCCTACTTACATGATACCATTGAACGGCATTCCTGTCTAGATGTTTATAGTGCAAGATACTGTTCCAGCATAGATCAGGGGGAAAATGTACAACCACAAGTGCTGCATGTTGCCTTGATTATTAGATGCCTCCCGCACTGAAAATGAAATGTTTACACCCTTTGCTGCCAATAATTGTGGTCCCATTTTCTGACCATGTTTGCTTTGTAAAGTGGCCTCTGCTTTGTATAATTCCCTCCTTGATAATTGAGTCTTTTCATGCTGCAGTATAGATCATACATGCAAATCTTGGTACCAGAAGAAAATTTAAAATAAAAAATGCTTTTCATATTTTTCATTGCATTTAGTAGCATCTTTTGGTTCATGGTTGTTTATGCTTTTATTTATTGATATCTTATGTTGACATTTTTTTTTGAGAAATGAAGGCAAGAATTTATGTTGTGGGACTAGCACTCAATATATCTATCCTTTGGCATAGTTAAAAAGGGTGCCATGAAAATGCCAGCATGCAAAAAATACCTTTTTCGTATGCTAATCTTTCCCATGATGACTAAATCAAATAGTGGAATGGAAAAAATCTTATGTCATCAAATGATGCATTCAAGGATTTTGCAACCTGGGGGCTGTTTGTTGTGTTCATTGGACTTTTAAACACTCTGGTAGGATTATTCATTTTCTGGTGCATTTTCATCCATTAAGAAGGTAAATGATCAAGCTTGTGCTGCTTCATTTTTATTGAAATTGAAAAGCAAAGCAAGACTGGGAAACATCTTTTTGCCTTGAACTACAGTATTTACCCTAGCACCACTGGAGCCTTTTTTCCAAAAAAATAGATGAAGGAAAGTGGGATGGGCATGGTACATGGGGATAAAAATTATGTAACCAATGGTGCCAGCCATGATTCATTTTCTGTTGGTCAAAATGATGAGCCAGAATTCTAGCAGTAATAATGTTGGAATGCTATATGGTGTTATTTTTATTGATGGTTTATTTTGCTATTTCAAATTTATTATTTGAAATAAAAAAGTGATTTTTGGTCATCTATAAAACTAGGGCGCTTTTATTATGTGAAGGGACACACCTTTGGACAAAATTTCAGCCAAAAACCAAAGTTGTGTTCCTTATGCTAGAGCATGTGTTAATTGATTATATGTGCTGGTTTAAAATGCATTTTTAAAGAATTGATGAAGGAAAATCATCAACTAGGTTTCATGCTCATGCACTGAGAATGCTGAGACTTCTCCAAAGACCGCTTTATTTTCATTCATTGATTTCCAGTCTATATTACATGGCACTGGCTTTTTTCTCACATGGTAAAGCAAAAGACAAAATGCAGGGAACTCTTTGGGTATATCAGTATGCACTGCTGTTATATTTTAAATCTATGAATGTAGCATTAATTCTCAGATCACTGAAGGAGAAGTGTGGAGCAGGAATGATTCTAATCCTCTGGACAGCTTCTTATCACCCAGGTCTGAGGTTGACCTGCTGTCTGATGACCTGCTGTCTGATGATTCCAGATGGATGTGGTCTTGTATTACCTGGACAATGAAATATTTCAACCTTTTCTCAGTAATGCATGTTTTTTTAAGACTAACCTTAAGTAATTTTGGACGGTACTCTTCAGGTGTCTCTCCAGGGCTCCTAAATGGCATTCTCTGATTTGCTCTTCTGATCACCACTTCTAAGTCATCTGTTGACATTATTGAGACTGGATCCAACATGTTCTTCCTGATCAGGCTTCCAAGATATTCCACATAATGGTTTCTTAAAAAAAAATAGTGAACTTGAAAAGTCTGAAGTTCACTTTTTCTCTGCTGATGATACTGTACCTGCATAAGCCAGCATTTCCTTCAGGAGAATCTTCTCCACAGAGGTGTTCTTCCAGTCCTGAGATTGTCTCTCTGACTTCTGTAATGAAACATTTCCTTTGTTGACTTGGCAATGACTCTCCTGCATCTTCTTTGATCTCTACTCCATTTTCCTGGAAGGATAAACAATTTCATTTCAACATGCAATTGAACAGTTGTGCTTTTTTAAAACTCACTTTCAGCAGTTTCTTCAGCAATGCAGGCTCTTTGTCTCTTAGATAAAACAAGCAGTTTCTTGGGTGGTGAGCATGGAGTCCAAGTTTTGCACAAAACTCAACTTTCAGTGGACATTGAATGCCCATGAAGAATGGCTTGTCACAGCCACTGCAGAACTCATGTCTACACTGGACACAAGTGAAGTGCATACAACCACCTCTAGCTAGTAAGTAACGGAAGTGGCAATTGGGGCACTGAATCCCATTTTCTTTGAGCTGTTCTTCTATTAGAAGCTCTGCCTGGTGAATTTTGTCCTCTGGTTTTGTATCCAGAACTGAGAACTGTTGACAAGTCATGTCTTCATGCTCTTTTGTCCACTGAAATATTGATGATAGGTTAGGCATTTGATTTTGAAATGAATAGTAAGTACTTTTGACTCACTGGTTTGTCACAGTCTGCACAAAATATTGCTTTGCACTCTGGGCACTCATGCTTCTTCCTGTCAGCATTCTTAATGAATCCAGATGAGCACTGATGGGTCAAGATTTTCATTTTATTTTTTAGGCCCAATGAAAGTTCCTCATGTGCTTACTTGTGCACACCATCTGAAGGCTGGATCTTTCATGAGACTCCAGTCCCTGAGTTTTTGTTGATAAAGATGAAAGGCCTCATCATCAATGGTGTTTTTCAGGATGATTTCTAGATGGGAAAAATATTCTTGAGCTAAGTCGTCATTCTGAAGGTTGGGCTGGTCACAAAATGGGCACTTGATTTCCAGAATGCTCCTTTCTTTTATGCAGTTGGTAAAGTGAACTTTAGCACAACTGCGGCAACAGCGGTGAGTGCAATGCAGCATAGACACCATCTGGGAAAAAGGATAAAACGTTTGTCTTCTGAATTGCTTTGTTATGTTCAAAAGTATTGCATTGTGATGATACACTGCAACATTCAATTCTTGCTCACTTGGCTGATTGGCACTTTGAGAAGACATATCTCACAGGATTGTTGGAGAAATGTGATAGCTGTGTAAAGACTATCACATTCCCTTGCTGCTTGGAGGCAATTTGGCTCTGAAAAATCCAATTCCATGAGCCTTGCTGCTATTTCTCCTTCTTTGTAATTTCTCACCAGACCCTCAGCCAGGAGACGCCTGACTTTCCTCTGGAAGAAGTAAAATTTCAAGTTATTTTCAGCAAAGTCTCCATCATTTGCTACCTCAGCTTGTTTTGTGCAGTCACCATTTTCTGTAGGAAGTAGGTTAGCAAAGAAAACCTCATTCCAAGCTTTCAGGTATAAGAGGAGCTCTTTATTAGTCTGCCTTACATGCTGTAATTCTGCTTCACAAAAATGTCACTTTTGAACTTGGGTATTCCTTTCAATGGGAAGATTGCGTCTGTGGAATGTAATGTATGCTTGTTGTATATAAGGGAGTGAGACAGTGTTGTATACGGATGCACTGTGCACATTGGCAGCCCAAGTGGGGAAATTGGTGCTCACTGGGGATATGCTTGTAATTCTACATAGTGACCCTGCTGTGCACCTGAAGTGTACCAAAGTTCTTCTGTTGCTCATGCATATCCCTAATGTGCACCAATTGTGTGTTCACGCCAGGATTACTCAGGGTCACATTTGTGAACAAATAAGTTACACCAAGGTTTGTCAACCACGTAAACACACTATCAGGACAATAGTCACATTTGTGCACCAAGTGTAGCCCTGGAATGGTAGCAAAATTTCCTCTACAGGAGTGCACCCTTGTAACCCCAGAATATCCCATATGCACCAGTTGTGATCCTGGTGTGCACCTACTGTGGGGTCACAGCAAAAGTAGCTCCCCACTTGGAAGGTTTTAGGAAGAAGCTGGAGTTTTTCTTTATAAATTTAAGATTGCTACTGGACATGCACTTGTGAATGGTGTGGCTAGCTCTACTCAAAAAACATTTAGAACTGGAATTGATCTAAGAGGTACTTCAACCGGTTAGCAGAAGACTGAACCATCATGGAGTGTTTCTGAGAAGCTAAAAAGTTGTGGTGGAAGGGTACCTCAAACTCAGGCTTGACAGCCTTGTCTGACCCTCCATTAGCTTTGTGAACTTGACCATCAGGCACATGTTCAGATTCCATCACAAACTCCTGACTCAGGACTTCTACCACAGGTTCAGGGATTTCAGCTTGAGGCTCTGGCAGAATTTCAGGCACTTCCACCTTGACTGTCACTGGTTGCAGAGGGGTTTCCTCAATTGGAATCACTTGAGTGGTTTCCATATATTCAACAGCATCCTCTGGTTTGTGAAAATTGAGAATTTCAGGGGGCTTCTCTGTAAATATTTCTTCTGTGAATTCTGCATTGGCGTCACTAAATAGCGCAGTTGGTGATGAACTCCCTGCAGATTTGTCAATAGGTTGCTGAGGTGCAAGGACAGGAATTGTTGGATTCTTTGCCATTACTGTTGCTGTCATTGCTGAATCTGAAATTAGGGGTTTTTTTCTCAAATGTGCTTTGATGAGTCACACAATCTCTGCCCTACCTTTGAAAATTGGGGAAACAGTTTGATAAGGCAGACTGAATGGAGAAATGGGATGATTTTGATTACTCTCCATATGCCTGGGAATCATCATTTGCATAAAAATGGGCTTGAACTGTGCCTTTGCCAATTCCATGTCAGCCCTCTGTTGATCCCCTCCAAATTGCTCCAGCACTTCCAGAATTTCTTCCCTTTTGACAGTGGGATACTTCTCAGTCAATGCAAAAAGCTGAAAATAAATATTTGGCTCATTTAAAAGACATCAAAGTCCATTATAATTAATTTTGATCTCACTTTGTTCTTGCGCTGTTGAGTACATTCAATCACTGATGCCCATACATTTCCTTTGTTCTGACGTAGTGCTTTTTCAGATTCTTGTTCTGTTATTTTCCCAATGCTATTCTGTGGACCTTCCAATTCATTCAAATAATCTGCAGCTAGAGACTGAACACTCTGAACCATAAGAGGCCAGTTTTCCTTCAACCAAATGAAAGGATGTTTTGATCCACAATGAAGCATTGCAATTTCCATATCTTCTGGGTGAAAACTTGTACCAAAGACTTGAAGAACTCCGAAGACAGTTTTTTAAAGTTTAAGTCTTTTATAAGGGTATTTTACAAAATCAAACGAATGACCTTTCTCGTAACGTCGGTTTAAGTACCACGAAGACCCGACTGAATCTCTTTGAAATGGGATGTGATGTGTGGGTCGCCTCTCATCCATGAATGATCCCCTTCTTTGTGGCATTTGATCTGGTTCTTGGCTCTTAAAGAGAGATGTGACTTTTGTAAGACACAGAGATATTCAGCCAATGGAATATGTGCATACCTCAACTGAAACGCCATTGAAATTTATGCTGAACTGTCTCATGGGTTCTGTTGGCAGAAGAGGAGACTTGCTGCTGTGTAATGGATGCACCACAAACTTGGCATTGTTTTGGGGCATGGAATTCCAAGGAGCTGTTTCCTTGACAGGAACAAAGCCAACAGGAGCAAATGAGCTTGGTTTGTTGTCATGCATTGTATGGCTTGTCACTTGAGGTCTGACTGGGATATCCCTGACCTTATGAATGTGTGAGGCCATTGTGGCCTGAGGAATTGGAATCCTGGGTGGAAGCACACTAGAGACTTCATAAAAAATATCCTCTTCTTGTGTCTGGAGAACAAATCCCTTGTGAAACTCTTTTTGAACCTTGAAAATAAAACTGTTTAACCTGTGTGCCAATTTCAATGGGAGGAGGAGATGTTCCCTTTGACATGCATTGTTTTGGCTGGATTATGTGACTGACTGCTGGGCCTTCTTTGATTCCTGCTACTTGGATTTCTGCATTTGCTACTGTCCTGAGTGTCACATTTCCTGATACGATTTCTCCTCCCTCTGAAGGAAAAAAAAATGTTTTTAGTTAGGCGATTTCAAGGAGAGAAAAAAAAACTGTTACCATCAGAATCAGTGGCAGGGCTTAATGCTGGCTGAGGTGTGCTTTCATTGGCCACAATAGCTGTAGGGCTATGGATGATGAGTTGATGTACTTTGCCATCCAGGGATTCCAGGTCCTCAGCATCTTCGAGTTTCAGTGGATCTGTGCCTTGATCTGTGCTGATTATTGGCCTTAAATCTAGCTTCTTGTTTCCTGGGGTCAATGAAGTCACATTTTTGGGGATGGACTTCTTTGAAACTGCAGTGTCATCAATGGCTGTGTCCAGGTCTGAACTCAGCGAGGAAGAACACCTTGACTGTTCTTTCTCTGGTGGTGGCAGAGACACAGTTTCCAACAAGTCTTTGGATTGCAAAAGTTGATCAGTATTGGACCTCCTGATGTGCTTCTTGAAGCGCCTGTGTCGCATTGCAGGATGAGACCCCTTGGGTACCACATTGGTCTTTGAGCAAATGACACAAATCTTGGCTGTTGGTGCATTTAGAAAGGTGCAGAATTTGCATTGCCATTTGGCAGTTGCATCCAAAGACATATTTGATTCAGCTGTTAGTGCATGCTGTGATGCTGCTCTGGATCTCCTACTTCTCAGGGTTTTGAAGGAGAGAGTGTCTTGGAAATCATCATCACTGTGTCCAATGGAATAAAAGTCTTCTTCTGATTCTTCTGAAGATGATCTTGGTGGCACAGACCTGGCATAATGTCTTCCAGTTTGTTGCGTCCTTTGAGCGGATTTTGAAAACTTTCTGTGCATTGAGCTGCTTTGTGGTGGTAATTTAGGCTGTGGCATCCATTCATTCATTATGTCAACACTAGGTGCTCTTCTGGGTGGAGGAAAGCTATTTTGTTGTTGTTGCTGTTGCAAAGAGTGCAGCCTTCAAGTACAACTTCAGATTAGACACAAAAATGGAATATAATTTTCATCTGATATGATACCTCATGTAATGTTTTTCTGCTGGAGTCTCCTTGGTGGTTGGCATTGATTTCTTTCTTTCCATTAGTTGCTGTTTATCTTGACTGTAGATATTTGTGTCCTCTGGTACATAAGGCTGGGTCATGACAGAAATTGCTCTGTCCTCAATTTTGGCAGGGTCTGGTCCCCACAGGGTGGTGTTTTGGCAGGAAGGACAAGTAAGGTTAGCCATGGACTGTGCCTGCAATGCAATATTTGTCAGGACCCTTGTTAGTGCATGCATGTAATGCAAACATGACATATTCATGCTACTTGTTGCATTGGTGTTGGTGCCATTAATCTGCTGGGTGCTCTTGATTGCTGCCCCTCAGAGTTGTTCAGGCTCAGTAAGCTTCCATTGGTTTGTTTGTAAAATCCTTGTCTTGAAGGAATAGGCAATTGCTGCCTGGGCAGATTCCAATCAGCAGGAGGCCTGGTGGAAACTGGCAAAGTGTGTACAGCAGGTCTACTTGTAGTATCCATTCTTGGGTCATTGTGAGCATTTCTCCTATCCTCATTCCTCCATCCATGTAAGCTTGGCGGTTTCTGTGCAGGAGACTGCATTCTTGATCCCTGAATAATCAGCCAAACATTCATTCTTTTTCATGTTTTTTCCTAATAAAAAAGTGCATGCTGGGAAAGAGTATACTTTTTTTTTTAGGTGTTTGCATCATTGAAATGTGGTTGCTGACTTTAGCAAATTATAATCCATAATTTTGTATGTCATTGCTTCCTTGCTGTTTCAATCATAGCCCATCTAGATTGAAATAAGTTCTGCCCAATTCATCAGGACTTGTATTGAAAATTTCTTTGCAGATGAATAGAGGTTTGCATAAAATCTCTTCATTCATTCTGTAGAGGAGTTTGGCAAAGGAAATTTCCGTACCACAAGAACTTCCAATGAAGTCACTGTTCTGTCAAAACCTTTGAGCCAACCAACTTACATTTTATAAGCCAAACTTCTTACCTGTTGTTCCAAACTTGACCAGTTGTCATGAAACAAGGACTCCTGGCTAGACATTCTTGCTTGTAAACTGTTTGTTGGGGATAAACAACCAGCACGATTGAATCCCTTATTATCAAGGATCCTGGGTCTTGGTATCATTGGCTTTTGAACCAGGTGCTGCTGCGGGAAATTCCTTTGGATTGGCAATGGGAGTTCATATTTTTGTGGTCCTGATGCAGCCAAGTTCCCGCAGCTCATGTGCATTGATGGTCCCCTGTACTGGAGACCTATTGCTTGCTGAGAAGAAGCTAGAGGTCGCCTGAAAAGCATACTGGGTGGGTGTTGTGGGATGGTGCTGATAGGTGGTGGGGTTGGAGGTCTGTCTTCATCATGATTTTCTTGGACTGACAGCAGACCTTCTGTAAAATGAGAAATATAATGTGAAAACCCCTTATATTGGATAATTTTTTCCATATGGAACTACACAAATTCTAGGACTAAATAAAAAAAATCAAAACTGCTGTCTCCCCCACACAACAGACTTAATTTATGCAACAGAATAGTCAGTTGTGTAAAAAGTCTGTTATGCAAATTCAATTATTATAAAATTAAAATTTTTACTTGTTACCATTAATTTCAAACCAACAGAAGTCTGTTATGCAGATTTAGTCTGTTGCACAGGAGGGAAAACCCCCTCCAGAGGCAGTCTCATGTGCAGAAATCTGTTGTGGGAGACATCCATTCTGCAGAAGGCAAATGATTTTCAAATTTGACTGTGCTCAATTTGAATCAAAATGTTTATGAGGTGGTTCAATTGATACAATCAACTCTTGTATAACAATGAGGATAAATATGTAGTTGGTTTAGACAAATTAAGTACAGTATATTTCATTATGAAGTTCTTTTTTTTAATACCCATTTGTGACCTCAGTGGCTGAGCTCAATTAGTCTTGAATTTACATCAGCAGTATATTGAACTCACCAGACATGTGTCTGTAATGTCCAACATGAAGACCGCTCTGGAATATTCCTTGATTAGTGACATCTCTCTGTAGAGAACATATCTGTGTCATGTATAAATTACGAGTGCGAGATTATTTTATTTCATACTTACAATAGAGGGGCGTGGCGTAAATTGAGACGCCCTGCGCATTTGCTGCTGGGGTTGTTGCATCCTATGCCTTCTCGGTGGTGGAACTGGTGCATTATTCTGAATAGTATCGCCTTTTGGTGGGAGAGGTGGACGAGACTGGTCAGTCGCCCAGACCATCTGGTCTTCTAATGGCTAAATTTGTGTGTGTGTAAAAACAGTGGTTAAACGAAATCAATGTCAATGATTATTTTTAAATAAAGACACAGCACAAGCATACAAGTATTGAGCCAGTGGTATTCAGGTACTATTCTCTTGAAAAGCATGAAACTCATGGTGCATATCATACAGTGGAGTCTCAGCACTCATAAAAACACTTCCACTTTAAAAGCTTCATTTTTGTAGGTTTTCTTCACTTGTTTACCAACAGGGATCCAGCTTGCCAACATTTTAAAGTGAAAACACTCAGCAATTTACAAAAGAAAGCATTGGAATATTACAATTCACTTTACAAACTTTGGGGTTGATTACATTTATCCTTAAACAGTTTTTGTAGTTCATGCAGCCAAGACCCCACTGTACTTGAGTCCCCATTTGGCTGAAAATAATAAACAAACTTTTTTGGCCACCAATGATTCATGTCTGTTTTTCAATTACTTAACTGGAATTTTTTTATAAATCATAATGTTGAAAATGGGATGTGATTTTGATGCAGGGATAGGTTCTGTGTTATTGCCTTGCCAAAAATTAATATGTACATCTTACTAAAAAAAAAGCTTGTGGTATTTGGGTAAATACTGTACATTTTAAAAATTGTATGCAACTCTCAATCGTGTTTCATCGCATCCTGCTTTAAAATTTTGCGGTATAGAGGGAGGTTAAGTAACTTTTCTAATGATTCCAAGTATTGGGTTGGTGACATTGTTTGAAAAATCAAAATGACAAATAAGAAGGCTTTCAAGAAAAACTAAAACATCACGAATCTATAAAAAAAATATTCATTCATTCATTTCTACCAGCCGTTTTCCTCCGATTGAAATACGGAAAGGTAGACTTGCCAAATCAAATGCAGGGGATTATAATTGATTTCACGTAGTTAAATAAAGCTCTACTGCCTGCTATCATCTTTAAATAAAAAGAAACTCGTTGCCGGTATTTTTAGCATACGAAGGTTGGTTCATAAGTTTTGAAACTCTGCGAAATAAATCCAAAACTGGTGAGTTTCAACAATTCCAAAAAACCATTTTTACTCGCATATAGCCCCATCATTTCCTCCGCCAATTTCAATTTAATTTTCAATGCAATAAATCTAACAATCAAAACAATTCAAAATCGCTCGCATAGCGAATAATGAATTATTTTTTTGTGGAATTGTGGGAACGTTGTGGGATCTGCAGTATTCAGAAAATTCGCGAAACTTATGAACCAACCATCGCATATTTTCCGAGCATATTTTTAGGGCACTTTGGCGTTATAGATGCTCACCTGTCTGGCGTGACTCATTCTTTTCGGGTGTCGATGGAAAACGTCGTCACAGGAGCGACAGAAGAGCTGGTTGTAACATCGCTCGCAACGGAATTTGGCAGACGGCGACCCGCACAAATCACAATGAAGCGCCAAAGACATTTTGAAACCCCTTCGAGTTTTTTTTTTTTTCAAAATGCCAAAATTGTAGATCTTATTTTGCTTCACTTGATTGCAACGCAGTCATTCCAGTTTTTCCGGAATGATGGTCAAATCTGAGAGCGAGCCATTATTGAAACCCCTTCGAGTTTTTTTTTTTTTTCAAAATGCCAAAATTGTAGATCTTATTTTGCTTCACTTGATTGCAACGCAGTCATTCCAGTTTTTCCGGAATGATGGTCAAATCTGAGAGCGAGCCATTCCACCGTTTTTTTTTTTTTTTTTTGGAAAGTCTGGTGGATATTCCAGCAAATTTTCTGCAATCTGCGAAGACAAAAGAACAGAGTGTTTTTTAATAAAGCCAGGTTGTTCCTCAACTGACATCAGGCATTTGGTTTTATTGGCACTTCTGTGGGTCGCCCAGATTTTTGTCGAACTTCAATTCACTTAGGACTGGGGTTTGCCAAGTAAACCTAGGACTGGACATTTTTACGTATGATATTGTACTAGTGTTGAATGAATATAATGATCAGCTGCGGTTAAAACTTGAACTGGTCAATTCAAAGATTTGTTTCAGGCATTCCACCGAAAACACTGATCACACATTGTTTTGTTGACACTTCCAAAGGAGCAGATTTCCTCTTCGGACTTTAAATTTGTTAAATATTTCATTAGTTATTCTATGAAAAACTAGGGTGATTTAATGGATGATCAATTCTTCCCGGAAAATAGTTCAAAAATAATTCCTAAACCCGGCCCCGGTGATTCTCGTGCTTAGAAAAAAAGTGGAACTTTTCAATTTTCTGATTTTCTTGGGGCGTTTCACTGAAGTCACTGGTGTTTAGGCACTGTTTCATTGATTCCTTTTGGATGGTAAATTTTCACACGCCTTTCCGCAATTTTGTTTGGATGGCGGAAGCATTGAAAAAGCATCTCACTGATATAGCAGACATTCGGATTTATTCATACAGTGCTGTACTGTACAGTGAGACCCCGAGATGCGGACGTAATTGGTGCATCAAGAGTGTCCCTAAGTCGAAATAACCCCAAGTTGAGTCTCATTTTCCCTTAGACTTACATTATATAATTTTTAATTGGTATTTTGTGCAACAAAATACTCACCATAATTCCATGAAACTAAAAATTTTCTCCCAATTGAAATTGATTCCAATCAATATATTTCAACACAATATTGACATTTGAGGAATTGAATTCTGATACCTCTGTAAAGTACATTGAAATGTTGGCATTCTCTAATTATAAAAATTACATTCAAATGAAAAAGAGGGAAGGAAGTCCCTCTTTTCTGCATCAATTTTAGGGTTGGAAATATTTGTTTCTTGTAATTTGGCCTGAAATGTATTTGCAATTTTATCACAAAATGTCCTTATGTTGAGTCAGTGTCCTCGTGCTGGGCCTTTTTTATTAATTATTTTTTTAGAAATAAGTGTCCCTATGTTAAATTGTCCGCAGGCCGAGGTGTCCGCATGTGGGGGTCTCACTTTGTACTTCCAAACTGACGTGATTTCCGCGAGAGGTCAAACACTCCACTTTTCTGAATATTTTAATATTCCGTCAAAAGTCGTGGAGTTCATATTTTAAAAGCTGATGATTTTATGAATGCTGCGAAGAAGAAAAAAAAATCAGCCATCAATTCATCACTCATCGACGGCTGAATCCATGCGTGATTTGACATTTCGCCGATTTTCTGAGCAGTTTCAAGACAGAAGATTGTCAAACTGTTCAAGAAAGAAAAGAAAAAACAATTTAAACCATAAAAAAATGTTGCACAGTATGTATCATCTCAACTCATGAGCCCTCGTCTCCACACGGCTGACATTTCATCACTAAAACAAGAGAAAAAAAAAAATTCATGATCGAGAGGCCAGAAACAAGCCGGTTGAAATGTTCGACGGGAAGGCGGAGGCACCATCACCATTTACCACCACCATGCACCACCACCACTAAATACAGAAGAAGAAAAAGTGTTTGAAGTGGCCGGAATTTTCCTTGGCAGCAGAAGGAAAGAAAACCATGACTTTTTGAAACCCCAGACTGGTTTCCGGCCACAAACTGACGCTTGCTGGTGCCCCTGATGCCCGGGAAAAAATTCCGACTCTGTGGCACCTTGGCACCCTGTCAAGAAATTCTGAGGTGCAGTCCACCTCAGCACGGCCTGCCAAGAATACACCACTCGCAGATTTCTTGTTCCGTGAATCCCTGTCCTCGGCGAACTGCAATTTTCTCCTCGTTTTTTTTTATTATATTTTATTTATATTTATTATGCTTCGTTTTTTTTTTCTTTTCTGGAGATATGTATTTGCTTCAATGGTCGTTGCTATTAGGGGTATATTGGAGGAACAGTACTTGGACCGCTGTCTGCTCTGCATGAGCGGGTTCATATGTTGATCTGCTGCTTACTTCCACGTCAACGCACCGTGTCCTTGGTTCTTGGAGTTCCGACGGCTTCATATAGATGTCACCTGCACTTGCTGCTTTTTTTTCTTTAAAAGGCAGATGGAGGCCCCCGAGATGCGGACGTTTCTTGTCTCTTTTTCGGAATGCGCTGGCATGTTGAATCAAGTTTTCCCATGTGCTTCAGTTGGAAATGATTCCATTGGCTCTCCAGTTCATCAAAAATTAGGAGGAATCAGTCCCTCAACAATTGAATAACATTTTTTTCTCAAAATAAATGCATTGCTAATTTAACTGTGTGGAAGAAAACCACACAGAATAACCTTTTGGTATTAAAATGATCCCAGAAAGCTGAGAACCAATAAAATTCCTGCTATCAAGTGCACAGGTGTGGATTATTTGATAATACTCGGAAAAAAAGAAGCATAAAATTAAACTGATTTTTATGATAAATTTAAGTACATTTACAATGGAATTCATTTTTAATTCTTAGAATAAAAAAACTTAATTTGATCAAGAGATATCCAAGTTTTGAAATTTCCTTTTTTTATAGAAATGTTGCAAAACTGTCTGTATCTTGAGAAATTGCGCCCAGATGGGCAGATTTTTTAAGGAATTAAATATATCCCTTGGTCAAATCATCTGTATGCCAGGGTCTCACTGTGTATAGGTTGAATTGAATGATCTTGGTGCTACATTTATTGGTTGGGCTAGTTTAATTTCACTCTGATTAGTCTGCGTTTCGGATTTTCTTGATTTAATTAAGGCTATAGTGATGATTCAAATGACACCTAATACTGAACGTTCCAGAGAGCAATTCATCTCACAGTTTTCATTGAAGGAAGCCACCATGTAGAAGCACAATTGAATTGGGAAAATTTTACTGGTAGCTTCTGGAATTTCTGTTAAAACTTGAAATGGAAATTCGAATAGTTCTTAGGCATAATGGAATTTGAATTCCATTTGTGTAGGTATAAACGAATGGATTTTTTCTGCGAAATTTGAAGATTTCATTGTACACATATGTCCTATACCTGCAGGAAATTTCCTAATACCTGTAGTGGGGAGCATGAAAAAATAATATGCATATTTTTTCCTTTGGTTCTCTAGAACAGCTGTTTTAATATACTGCTGTAAAAGTATATGTAGCACAATTTTAGCAGTAAATGCCTGACCAATCCAACAATAAATGGAGGTCTAAGATAACAGTTTTGACTTAGAAAGGTTACTAGCAAGGCAATTAAAGTGTATTAAACAATATAAAGAGATAATTGGGATATAAACTGGAAATTTTAATTTTGGCCGGTGCTGGTTTTTGACAAAATGTATCATTTCGCAAGGCTGTAATATAATAGGAATGACAAATTCAGCCAACCAAGATACTGCACAATGCTATACTGTATTTGCTTTACATTCGATGCAAGATAGAAATTACTGTATCGTGGAAAAGTTCGTAATGCAGTAAACATTTTTTGAAAGGACTCAAACAATTCGTCAATCTCCAGAAAGACGTGGTTAGCTTTTTCTCTGACTGCTTTTTGTGACATCGTGTGCCCGCTGCTTGGAAAATGTTTCTACAATTTATTATTCTTCAAATAGGTGTCGCTGCAAACGCAATGCTTGAGCTGATTTCCGGGGTTTTCGCGGAGAGGGAAGATCCGAACCAGATGGACGGTCGTGTATGGTCTCGTATGTGGGACTGTTCGCCTTTTCGGGATTAAATCAATCAGGACTCGAAAATAGCAGAAAATTAGCGACAACGATGCACAACCAGTTTCATTATTTCCCATACTGAACAATCAGAAAAATAATAATTCAAGGAAATGCCTCGAAAACCGACCGGGACAAATATTGAAAATTTCGGGGGAAAAATTGAACCTCGTCCAACAAAACTATCTGAGATCCAGCCTTAGTCGCGAATCATAAACAAAATGTGAATATAATCCCGATTCACTTCTTCAAAATGCACGAACAAATATATACAGGTATTGTCACATCAATTTGAAGTATACCCCATCGATTAAAACTGATAAATAGATGCAGAAAATAAATGCATCATTTCCTTTTCAAATCACGCAGCTGGAATCATGTAGAATCCAATTTGAATCACGCAAAACGAATACAATCGAAAAACACCGAAGTTGAATGGAGATCAGTTTTAACAACCCTTTAATATACGGTACTGCACTTAATTCTGATGAAAATAAAAACAGCCATAAAGCATCCTTATACTGTACAAGGCATCCTAACAATTTAAAATCTAAATATCCCACATTCACGCATCAATAAATATAAACAACATGTTTATTAGGATCCTTTCGTTGTTTTCGAAAGAATAAACATCTCGAAGAAAACATTTAAATGATTGTGAAAAGTCGACGTTTTCCGTCCCTTCGAAGAATATTTTGCGGCTTCAATGAATCAGCTCCTATAAAACAAAACAATGAAAATGAGAAGATAATTTCCCCGAATGGAAGAATTTGTGTTTGTAAAAAACAAACCTTAAAATACGCATCGGAGGTTTTAGAATCTTACATCAGGGAACAAAATTGAAGAGCATGAATAATTAAGAAGCTCGTATAATGTCCCCCAAAACCAGTTCGAACTTTTATGAAGTTAGTACAGTGTACTCCTATGAAAAACGAAGTCAGGCATGTTTTTCGGTCACAGAGGAGGGAGGAAATACTGTATATTATAAATTAAGATTGGAAACTGTTTTGAACCTCTTGAAGGCAAATACTGTATACTGTAAAATTCAGAAAACTTTTGAACAAAATCTTCGGCGGAATTTCGTTCAAGTTGCAGGCTGAATATTGGTGGACGTGCATTTTATTTTCGCATTTTTTTCCAATTGTCAAAGAAAAGTCTTTTTTTCTTGTTATCCCACATTTCAATAAAATTAGAAAAGATACGTTCTGGGCAATTTCTCATTTTGCATCCACTGCTGTGTCTGAAGAACATTTTCAATGATATTTCATGGGACTTGCTTTCAGCAGTGAAAATATTTTAAAAACATTTTTAATATATACAGTATATATATATATATATATATATATATATGCTCTCATATGCTGGTGACAGTTATTTGTGGAGTATTAAAATCTTTTGCCCTCTTTTTAATTTTTTTTCGATTCAGGAAATTCTTTTGAGTTTAATGTTTTTTTCCAGCGTTTCCCTAGCTTTCTTTTGAATGAAAATATTGCAGTGTGAAATTTCGAAATTTTTACCATATACTATACCTCGTCAGAGTCCAACTCCAGTAACTGCTTCAAATCAGTTGCAGATGTTCTGTTCGCATTCCCGCACCAAGAGTTGCCATTTTGTAATTGGGCCGGGGTGACAATGCTGGTGTTCACTTCCAATATCGGTGGATTCCCCTGAAAATGAAAATTAACATCCATTTTATCAGAATGGATGGTTTATATTTTGACTATGCATGTGGCTTATGCATAGTCAAAATAAATACCATTCACTCTAATAATAAATATATTTATTTATTTATTTTGTAAATCAGATTTTGGTGGAAACATGTGGCTTATATATATATATATATATATATATATAATTATTATTTGCACCAAATTATTCGCCGCATATTCACCGCAGGTGAAATTATTTTTCGCCTGCGTGATTTCGTGTCAATAAATTGAGTTTGCTCACGTGGTCAACTGGAGTCTCCGAAGTATCGATGTCATCTTCTTCACAGGTGTCAATGACGTCATCGAGGTCTTTTCTTTGCAAGGTCGAATATCTGTATGATCCCATATCCTCTCTGCAAAAATGATACCGAATAAAAATCCTGGAGATAGAGGAATATCATGTGAGAGATATTTATTTATTTTTACCATCTATTCATATAAAGCAGGTATCCGTCGAAACTGTGTGCGATTTGATAAGCGAGAATAATTTGACAGGAAAAAATCGTGATCATAGTTGTAAAGCATTTATTCATCATCATTTTTCCGCAGGATTTGTGTTTTAAATTTTCGGCTCCGTTTTTTTCTGTATTTCGAATTTATACTATACCTGCAGACAAAAAAAATAAAAAATTCAAAGAGGATATGAACGGCAAAGAATTCCATGGTATTTATCGTGCATAAAAATAACCCAAAAAATTATCCTCGTCTTCTTTCAAGAAATTATTGAAGGAATATTCATAATTTAATACAGCATAGTAAATGCATCAGTCAAGAGAATATAGTTGTTTTTTGTTGCCCCAGGAAAATTTTAGTCTGAACACGATTTTCGCCACTGTTTTGATCGTTGGATTTATTGCATGAAAAATTGCATTGAAATTGGCGGAGAGTGTGTTGAATAAGGGCACTGAAGTGTTGCCCCTTGACAAGGTTTATGTGAATAAAAAAATGATTTTTTAATTGACCAAACCGATCTATTTGAAATACTGTCGTTGCAAGACTCATGAAACAACCCTCGTACATTTTTTTCTCCCTTTTTTGAAACAGGTGTGTTGTCTGTAAAATCACCTCATCGATTGTTTGTGGATTCTCCAGTCACTATGCCAGTCGTATGCCAAAACACAGAGCCCGAAAGCGAGCAAAATGACCAGGAATGACCAGAAGAACACCTTCCAAACCCAGTCATTGGATTCGATTGTCGTTTTCTGCATTTCTGCCACATTCGAGTCCTTGCTTATCGAGACCTTCGTTCCATTTTTGGCAGACTTGTTGCCAGCAGGTGCTGTGAGTCCAATAATGCCCGGTGAATCAGTGGTGCTGGTTTTGTTATTTTTTGGCGTGACAGCAGAGTCTTGTCTGACGATGACGGAGACATTTTGAAACGAGGATTTGCTCGCATTTTCTTCCAATTGCTGACTGGGACTCCAGGAGTCGTGAGTGTGAAATGAAGAGACGCGATGAAATACGAGAAGTTTCAGGAAAATTATTGAAAAGATCCGATTAATCCACATTTCAATTCATATGTGGGTCTATATACGTAAACTATTTTTTTGACGTCAAGCGGTGACGATCAAGCCATTGATTCCGACATCAAAACATGTATTTTGTTTCGAGGAGGATGGTCAATTATTTTAATTGAAATTCACGAAAATAATGCTAGAAAAAAAGAAGACGAATGAATCAATGTCGCGACGAATTTCACAGCGCCCGTTTGGTCAATATGAAATAAAATTTTGCGTTTCCCTAAATTTTATTTGCCCAATCAACAAACTGAACTCACGGTTGCTGCAGAAGGAATCAAGGCCGCGATAAGTTGTTTTGTAAAATCTCACATCAGGATAAAAGTTTGCTACAGCGTGTACCTTATATCACGGCTCAATGAATGGCCTTTTTATGCATAGTTTTTCTTTTTTGAACTGGATGAATATTTTCAAATGTTTCCTGGACAAAAAAAAACGTGAATATCATATTTTTTGGATATTTTTCCAAGTTGAAAAATATTTGAAAGCACACAGTTTTCTGTGACTAAGGGTGCGCGGAACTGGGACAGAAAAACTGCATTCTGTCATCCCCGGAATAATTATCTTTGGCTTCGTCATCCATGTTGATACATTGTAAAAAAATTGTGTCGTCAATTTTTCTGTAAATTTCGAATTGAAGATATAAAATACTGTGCGAAAATTATTTGACCGGACGAGTACATTATTTAAATTGAAATCAAAGGTGCTTGGAACACGTACAACGCTTGCTGATGCCGAATGCCCGAAAAATCCCGAGTAAAAAAGCATATACTGTACCAACATTTTAGCTGGGATAACTGGAGAAAATTTGCAGATTTCACTCAACTAAAACCAGAAAAGTTGACAGCACTAAAATATCAAGGTTTTTACATTCATTTTCTGTTTTATGCGATAATTAAAACCATTTAATAAATACCCGTTAGGAAATTCGCATTATTTTTGGTTTTTATCTAAAAGAGGACTTATGCTGTAAAGCATGTTGTATTCTATCAAAAACAACAAAACATTTTAAAAATTAATATTGATTTGTGCTACTCAGATTTCAGAGAATTAATACTTGAATAAGAAAAAAAATTTCAACAATTTCGTACACAAATTTCGATACAAAGCATTTTTATTATGACGAACCTTTTGGGTCTTGAAAATTTCTCATCGTCGTACAGAGATTTGAAATGAATTCAGGTTCGTTACAAGGATATGAAACTCGTACTACGAGTTATTGATGGAATTACTCAAAGGCGATGAATCACGAACAGCTGGCAGAAAACCCGGAGGATGATGACAGAGAAAAGTGATGATCGATGAAGCGTTGCTTCTTCGATAAACCCTTTGATACTATATGTTGAATAAAAAGCTGTTCATTCATGTCGGCTTTCCAAACGGATTTCCGCCTCGTGCTCTTTGACCTTCATAAGCTATAAAAAGAACATCCAACAGAAAATCCTCACATGACGAACGGCGAAGGAAAGAATCGCAGAAAAAAATAAGGAGAGCCAGTTTTAACCTTTTTTTCGGCGGTGTTTTGCGACATTTTATATCAACTGTGAAATCGAAAGAATTCTGGCTAGTTTTCCACTTGTTTCGCCAAATAATTAAAAGCAAAACTTGGATATTTTAGTAAGGATTTACAACACGTCCCAAAATACTGCTGTGTCAGACGATAGATATTTTAGATGCATGCGTGCGCTTGAGATTCTGATGATGATCCCTTCCATTTTTATATAGATGCTGTGACAAAAAATTGTAAAATTACAGTAATGTATATTTTCTTCATAGTCATAATTACAATGAAGTACAGTATTGAGAATTAGGCGGAACGCGTTTTTCATTTTATTTATTTAACTAATAAAAAATCACGTTCATGCTCCACTCGGACTAATGTTCTTTCTAACATCGTTTCAATTTTTAATACGATTTTTTATTGGATTTTCGTTTCGACATTAACATTTAATAGTTTGTTCTTCCTTAAAAAATCAACCATCGGATGTAATTCCGTCACAACTCGGTAAATTCAAAATTATGCTTAGTATACATTTATACTATTCATTATTAAACGTGTTCTAACAAAAATAAAATATAATTTGTGTTAAGTCGCTGTTGTATATAAGCATCACATCTCACTTAATTCCTGGCCTTAATGCAAAAATAAAACACAAAACAACAACCCACATCCAGCACTCAAACTATGATGTGCCTCACTGCACTGAAAGTCTGAAACTCAAATAATATAAAGAGAAAGCGCAAATCTCTTTATGATTGAGATTATTTGCACAAATAATGGATCCAGATTTAATCCACCCGCGGGTGAATCATAATACCACTCAAGAGGCAAGACACTGAAATTTCCTATGTAATAATCCAACACCCCGTTATCCTCTTCCATAAAAATCGCAAATAAAAAGGACAGCAGCACACACAAAAACCCTGGTTACATGTAGATGCTTGACACTCCCATATGATGCACGAAGGTATGTATGAAGAGGATCCCCTGATGTGGCCAGGTTCCGATATACGCGTATATAAAGATCCAGCTGTACTACTTCTCCGCAAAGCGTATCTTCCTCTGACGTCGAGTCCCCGACGATAAAGGAGAGGGAGAGAGAGAGACCCACTGCCTGCTGGGTCGAGTTCCGGCGCAGGTCCGCGGGTTTCGCAGAATAAGGCCGGGGAAGGTTGTATAATAAAATATTCTTCCAGCAGCAGCAGCAGCATCAAGGGTGACAGCACAACTGGGCGCTGCTGTAGTCAACTGAACGTCAAGCATAGAAGGAAACCTGATGTATGAGAACTATATGCCCCTGGGCGGAAAACTCTGGGAGTGTCACTCGAATGAGCGCATTTCGTGTAAATACTGTATTGTAAAATGGCTTGCATTCGGTATGGATATGCAAAAAATCGTACAATACTTTCCAACAAAAAAGTTGTCAGGCATCTTCTGACTAAGTTGCCATTCTCCAGAGCTGTTTCTAGGGATGGATGAGGTGCAGGATCATTAATTTAAATACTGCAGGATAAATTACTCTACTTATACATAGAGTTCCAAAGAATAACAGCCTTTTCCAGCACGAACACAGCAAAGTTGACACCTTTTAAGCAATTTGCATCTGATCATTGCTTCAAAATAAAACCTTACCCAACAAAAGAAGACGGGGTGAGCATCGGACAAAGCTGAATTGGATACAGATAGAATTTATATTTGAAACCAAAAAAATCTCCCCAACTTCAGCACAGATCCCCTGCAGTTCTACATGAATCATTATACAGTACCATTAATCAGACATGCGGGCTGACAAAAACTAATTCAATATGCGTGAACAGACGTGTATTTGCTTTCCAAGATAACTAAAAAGCTCCCAGACGGGACTGAGATTCATCACTACTTCCAGTATCACATGAAGAAATTAACACCATTAACGTTGCTAACAATAGGCCACTAACAACCTCCGACGAAGAAATACTCTCACTTGCAACAAACGCGCAGCGCGAAATACATCATCAAACCTACCCACGTAAAGCTCAAGACTTCATGAAAATTCACGAAACATTTCTTTTTGGGCTGGGGGGGAATGTGCGTTGCATCCCTCGGGGAAAACTACTCCTCTGTCGCGAAGATGAGGTCATTCCAAAAGGGCATCGTGCGTCATTCGAACTTCCGTTTCTGAAAAACGTGAGTATCGCTCAGCCAGTTTAATCGTCGAAAAGCACGAGTCCGGGTCGCGTTCCTTTTTCATCTTTGTTTCAGGTCGCACTGGCCTAAACGAGCTCATGTCTCGCAGGCGAATTTATGCACGCTTCTCCAGGTAGGCTTTCATGTTCGGCAAATCGTAGACCTTCTTTTGAAACTCCGCAATTTCAGGGTATTTTTCCAGAGTTCCTGGTTCGGCTTTCTCCAGGGTTTCCGCAATGAATGCCAGATAGACGTCGGCCCAGGTCACCTACAGCCAATGGGAAACACACATGAGTTTGAAATTCCACAGGTGTTTAGATGTACAGCTGAACCTCTTCAAGTCGAATTTCAAGGGACCAGCAAAATAATTCGATTTAGGGATGTTTCGAAATAAGGAAACAAGCATTTTTACGTGGGAAAGAAAGATACATTTCAGGAAAATTTAATTGGTGATATTCTGGGCATTCAATTTCTTCTTAAATGAATTGACAGAACTTGGAAGCAGGGGTTCATTTGCCCAATTAGTCTTTCACATCCCTTCAAAACACACCAAATTATTTTTTCAATTTTCTAGTCCCTGTGTCAAAAAAAAAAAAAAAGCCAGAAGGCATCAAAATTCCAGTTACAGACGTTCAAGAGGAGAAACCTTTGCGTTGGAGAAGTTCGAGTTATCGAGGTTCAACTGTAATTTACAGAATAAAATCTTTCTTGTTCGTGGGACCCACGAAGCATCCGTAGCTGAACATTAGTTTTATATTCGAAGTAATATTCTGGGCAGGTGCAGCATTTACTCAGGTGCACAATAAAACTGCATCGATTATCAATCCTCAAGACCTCGAAAATGAAAATTATCTCGTTTGCGAATAGAAAACTTATGCACACACATTTTAATAACATAAATTATTTTCAGAATCAAAGGATTTCGCCAATTTTCATTTAAACTTCAGTTACGAGCTCGATCTTCTCGAACAACGGATTGGAAATTGGGCTTGAAGCCTCTATAATACCTTCCACGAAAAAAAAACACACATCGCAGAAATTTATTCTTTGCAAAATTTTAATTTGTTCTACTCCATGGTTGCGCTGGTTAGAGGGATCATTTACTTCAAATACAAGATACCATCCTATATAAGATGCTTCCCTTTATTGGAAAAAATGTTTTAAATATTTAGGGTTTGAACAACTTAAAAAGCGCGTTTTTTTCGAGTAAATATCTAAACCCGAATGCCCGAGTATAACTCAGTTGATAGATAATTTTAACTCGATAATCCGTCCATCAGATCGTCCTTACCTGATCGCACACGAGCCAGCCAGCGTTGTTCTTTTTGATAGATTTAACCATCCGATCACAAAACGACGGGAACATGACATTCAGTAGCTTGCTTCTCGCATCTTCTTTTTCGGCGTCTGTCTTTCCGTGATATCTAAAAGAGTGAATGGTATTCTTAAAAAATTGAATAGAAACTGAATGAATGACTAAATTACTGAAGAAATTGGTGGACGTTATTCAATGTTGCGATAGAACCCAGACAACTGTTAAATCTTGAGATAATTTATTCGTCACTGTATGATAATCGGCCTGTAAATATCTTTGGTTTTTCAGGAAAAAAAAAGAGAAAATAGGTTGTCAAACTTACTGCCACACGGCATACGGTTGCAGCAAATCGACGATGGCATCGACCATTTGATCGCAAATAGCGGATTCCCACGCAGTGCTGCCAGCCAAACCATGTTCACGTGCGATGTAACGGGCAATCGCATGACTTTGGCTCAACTTCTTCCCGTTCACTTCCAATACGGGTACTTGACCAAAGGGCATTTCTAGAGAGAAAAAAAATACACAACTCTAGTTATCCGGACATCTGATTATCGGTACATGGAATTTTGATTTCATGAGATGTAACAAGGCGTTGTGCATATTTCGAAATATCCTACTTCTTGATCATTTTTTTTTCTCCCATAGTTTAATCGTCAGGTTAAAGGAAAGAATGCTTGTCAGAAGATCAGTAACAATAAGTTATGTCATTCCTGAGTTTTTCCTCAAGCGTCAGACAAAATTTTACAATAGTATCCGATTATCCGGCCAAGGATACCTGGTCATTTGACTAGACACATTAATGGGGTTTTTTTAAACTCTTCAAAAGGGAACTTGAAATGGCTTCAACGAGCACTCAACATCTTGAATAAGAACTCAAAACAAACGATACGGAAAAATATTGAAGCATAAAGCTACGAGGGGTGTCTATTGTGCATAAAATAAAATCCTGCGCAAAAATGAATTTTTTACCTTTCCAGAAAATTCTCAAAAGATTTGCAAAATTTTCTCTACGGTAATCTTACGAATTCCGATTTCGGAAAATTTCCATTCAACCTAGAAATTTTTGAATAACACTTGGAAACTATTTAATGACTTCAAGGGATTATTGGGAAATGTTCGGAACAGGGTATACCTGGAAAATGTTTTTTACTGAACTACTCGAAACTTCGCAAGATAGTGCAGAAGATCAACTTCGAACTCATGAATTGATGGAGGCGTCACTGTGATGCATTGGATTGGTGGTCATACGAAAATTTGGTGGACTATTATTAAAAATTCAGAAGATTTGATCCAGAAAACCCTTCGGAATGATCTGATTGCTTTAAGTTTGCCCTGAACACTGTGCACAAAGGAAGATGCAGACGGCGCGCGAAAAACTGACAATCCCAGCAAGGATTACAAAAGTATCAGTGAAATTCGGGGGTACTGTATTCGTTTGAAAAGTATTCAGAAACATCAAATGGGGGAATAGCCAATTCGAGAGCAAAATGGAAAAAACTTTCGCTAAATTTCGCGAGAATCGATCGCGTACACACATTTCATTTCTTCAGGATTTTCGAACATAAAAACGGAAATTCACCTGGCTTTAGCGATGGCCAAGCTTCTCTTGGGAACCGGAAATCTTCGAATTCGACCCCAGCTTGGTGCAGCAACATTCTAATGAATTCCGCACGGCCGGGCATATCAAAATAAATCAATTTATACGTAGGCGCCATTTCTTTAATATTTTCTGAATGACTATGAAATAAAGGGCAAAACACGGGGCTTTCTGCCTGCGAACATACGAAGAATATTCGGGTGAAGCTCTCAGTCACCGAAGTGATTGAAAATAAAATTTCATGATGCACAGGTAAACATGGAATGCATTTCGAAGCTTGAGAAGAAAGTTCACTGGCCCGAATGGAACGCTGTCCCCGAAAAAAAAAGAAACCTTTGAAAAATTTCCTTTGACAATCCGCAACAATTTAGTTCACAGTTATCCCTTTTTCATATATGTTTCCAACGTCGGCTTCGACAAAACCTTGTTAGCTAGTTCCTTGATAGCTGGGAACGTGTCGAATCTCTTCTCATCACCGTCCAAAATTTGCACCACGAAAGTCAAGTAAATGTCAGCCCAGGTAACCTGCAAAAAGGGGGAATTTTTCTTGACTGATTACTTGATTCGCAGAATGAGCTACAAAGGGAAAAAAAGGTTCCAGGTGAAATTTATACGAGATAAAAAAAAATTTTTGCGTTTGGCAGCTTCAATCAGTTATACTCGACGAATCTTGACACACTTCACGTGATCGAAAAATTCATTAAAACATGGTCCCCGAAAATAGAAACATTGAGACACTCTCCTTCATCAAAAAGCCGGTATTCGCTTTAAAAAAAAAGACACTCTCATCAGTTGGTAACATTTCCCGAGGAAATCCAGCTAAAAAAAAAAGGCGGGCATAACGATCTTTTTCTTACCTTGTCACAAACCAGAAGTCCACTGGAATTATTGGAAATTGCTGACGATATCCGCTGGCAAAACTGCGGAAGCGCTTCACTGAACAGCGTTTTCTCTGCGGCTTCTTTCTCCGCATCCGTCCGACCTGAATACTTCCATACGACGAAATAAGATAGTAAGTCGATCATGGCATCAACGTATTGATCGCATTGCGCCGAATCCCACGCCGTGTTCCCAGTAAGATGAAGCTCCCGAGCTACATAGCGGGCAATCGCGTGACTTTGCCCCAAACGCTGTCCGTTCACTTCCAAGACAGGAACTTGACCAAATGGCGTTGCTGCAGGGAAGATAGAACAGATAACTTCCTGTGGAAAAGTGGTATAAATACTTCACTTCCAGACACTCAAGTAAGTTAGTATGTGAACATGCACCGTAACACGATGCATTCACAATAGGCCTTCGGTTCTTTCAATTTCAACTCGTGACATCCTTCACGGTAAAATAAATTTAGCCTGAATTTATTGCAGTTTGTTCGGCCAGGCCACGAAAAAGCAAGAAAACTAAGGTAGATTATGTTAGTTTTCATCGATAACTGTTAGCTCACTTGAGGTGATTTTTGGCTAACGCGAGCAAATTTTTGAAAAATTGTTGACAGGCTAGAATTGTCGACATAAAAAAGCCCAATGTTGAATTAACATCCTACTTCGCATCTCGTTAAGACTATTGAGACTTGAACAGAATCTATCAAAATTACTTTTAAGTTATTTCGTTAAAAAAACAGCTTCATCCGAAAAGGAAAGACATTTTTGTCATGGAATGTCTCGCTAAATTTCTCGCAAGTTAACAGATAAAAACGATATCCTCGTCATAATAAAAAAAAGTTGTTGAATCCGAATAAGAGAGGTTTTTCGAAAGAATAGAAATTCACTTACTTGACTTGATAGTCGGCCATTCCTCTCGCGGAATACGTTCATCCACAAAAGGTTCCCCAGCATAATGAAACAGCATCCTTATGACTTCACCACGACCGGGTACGTCAAAGTATAACAACTTGTACTTAGGCACCATGGTTTCAGCAGTCTCAAAACTCAGTAAATCTGGAATTCATCGGATAGAAATTTGAGTACAGTATTTTGACCGCATGAATTGTCGAATGCGAGACACGAGCCCGAATTTTCTTTCAAATTTTACTCCCAACGTTTCCGTACAGAACATAGTGCGAAGATCGCCAAGTGCCCAGAAATACTGCTCTGAAATCTGAACGAAAAGCACGGAATGATCGTATTAAGCACAGTGAAAATTACCGTTAAAAGCACCTTTGAACCCTCTAAAATTGCTCCGGGGTTACCGCTATTAAAAAGACACCACGATTTGTCTGCCATGATTTGTCCCTGACGTTAAAGCGCCTAACCGTTCACACTTTCGGGAGCGGACCACGTTTATCCAAGTATGCTTTCAAATTCGGCAGCCCGAAAACGTGTTCCTGAATTTTTTTAATCCGCGGATACGGTTCAAGACAGTCTGGAACAGCAGCCTCAAGCACGTCCATTCCGTGAGCAAGGTAAATATCTGCCCAGGTAACTTCGTCGGACACGAGCAGACCGGATGGATTCGCGTCAATTTTCGTCGTCATTCGCTGGCAGAAAACTGGGAGCGCACTTTCCAGCAAAGTCTTCTTGGCTTCTTCCTTCTCCGCGTCACTCTTGCCATATCTGGAAAAAGTGGGAGGCCGTTAAGTATCTTTTCTGCATTGCGCCGCATCTCTTGTGAGGGAAAAATAATAAGAGCCTTATCTGGAGGCAAACACTTCGTAATGACGCTTTCCTCTCTTTTATCGCTATGAGATTCACCGCACCATCGATGAACAAGTCAAAAGATACGATGTTGGAAGAGGTATTCACAAAAATATGAGGAACTTTCTCCCGATTGTGTTTTCTGAAAATTAGGTTGCGTCTCAAAATAGAAGGCGTCGTACGGCCACATGGAAAATTTAAATTTCATGATGGCAAAAAAAGTTAGCAAGTTCAAAGAAATAGTCCATTCAACACCTTTCGAAGCCTCAGATTAACGCATGAATAAAGTGCACACGGAACAACTGGTCATTCACAGCGTTAAAACGAGAAAGCAATTGAAGACTCTCGGAATAGATTTTTTCAGTGAAATGGTGGTCATATGATTCTTGTAAGGGTCAATTACACTAGAAAGGGCATCGACGCGAGCTTCAAATCGTACTTCATCAATGCAATGCTTCGTTTTTGGGAATATTTCGTTTTTATTTTAAAATTAAATTCACGGCCTTTTAGACTTATCATATACGAGGGTTCTAACAAAAGTTCTCGGAATGAAAATGAAGATGGCGTCTAATCAAGCTGGAAAAAAATTATTCTTTAGGGCAACATTTTTTTGTGCCAAAGAATATGGTTGCCCTAAAGAATAATTTTTTTCCAGCTTGATTAGACGCCATCTTCATTTTCATTCCGAGAACTTTTGTTAGAACCCTCGTAGAATAGGTTTTGCTTAACATTGTATGATGATTGACAGAACATCAGAAATATGCCTGCAAATTTCTTCGGTTTCAAGGGTCGGAAAAAGTAAAATCCATAGCCTCGTAAACCCAGGTAAGTAGGGTTTATATCAAAGTTTAAATGTTGCAAGATGCTAATTTCCAAATCGAGCCATCGCCCTGTAGAAAAATTATAATATTTTCAACTTGAGTACTGCAAGGTGCCATTAGACGCGTTCAGTCAGAAGCAAATGTGACATACTCACCGCATGGTCCTGTAATGCATAGTCAAGTCGATGATGGCGTCAACATATTGATCGCAAAGAGCAGATTCCCAAGAGTTTTTGCCAGCAAGTCCGTGCGCGTTAGCGAGGTACCTCGCGATGGTATGAGACTGCGCGAGGAGTTTCCCATCTACTTCCAAAACTGGAAGCTGACCAAAGGGCACAGCTAAAAGAAATGGAAATAAAATGTATGCCTACACCAAAACATATCTCTCAATTAAGCGAAGAAAGGCATTAATCTCAAACCAACTCACTTGGCTTCAACTCAGCCCATTTCTCCTTATTTATCCTCTGGTCTTCGAAATGGACCCCAGCTTGATGGAGAATCAATCGGATGATTTCTCCGCGACCAGCAACGTCGAAATAAATGAGTTTATACTGAGGAGACATCGTGGAACACACCAGAATAAAAGCAAAACCGAAAGGAAGCTAGTTCACGGATCACCTAAAATAGAAAAAAATACATATCATCACAGTTTCTGATCAATAGTGAACTGAAAAACGAAGTCTCGTTGCAGTATAGTAGTTGATGCACGATGAATTTCATCAAGCAAAAAAACTCAAGACTTTATTCAAACTCTTTACCGCTTTTTACTAAATCCACCCTGTTTCTTCCCATGGAATCCGCCTTGTTTTTTTCCACCGGATCCCCCTTGTTTCCTTCCACCGAATCCCCCTTGTTTCCTCCCACCGAATCCACCTTCTTTCTTTCCACCAAATCCACCTTCTTTCTTTCCACCAAATCCACCTTGTTTCCTCCCACCGAATCCACCTTCTTTCTTTCCACCAAATCCACCTTGTTTCTTTCCAGCAAATCCACCGTGTTTCTTTCCAGCAAATCCATCTTCTTTCTTCCCTTGTTTAGTAACTCGTGTTTGACGACCGCCTTGCCCGAAAAACGGCTTCTTTGCCTGCCTTTCCTCTTTTCTGAACTCCGTGGTCCTTGAATGAAAATTTCATACGCATTTTGAAAATGTCATCGCATTCAAATTAAGAAAAGTAGAACTAACTTGTATTTGAGTTTCTTCACAGCTTGGCGGGAAGTGTTCGTGAGGTCAACTTCAAAAGATCTGGAAGGCTTGCTGTGATCTTCCATTCCATTTCTATCGTTGAAAGCACGAATTCGGGGTTGTTTTCCAGCCCGTTTCGCACAACGAACTTGGAAATCCGCCTCTTTTTGTAGCGCATCCATCTTCCTTTGATGCCTCCAATTTAAGGGATGCACTTCTTTGCTGAGTTTCTTTTGCAGGCGGTGTTGCTTGTCTTCGAGTCTTTTCTTCTTGCGACCAGACATCGGTTCCATTGGCTGGTCTTCTTGGGGTCGTTTCTGGCCTCGCTTTTCAAACCACTCTCGTCCAGGCGCAGGGGGTTCTTTGTTGTTCATTATCTGATCCGCGCGACATACGGTATTATCCGCACGTTTCAATTCCTTATCGGTTGCTTCCTCTTCTAAAATTCTCTCTGCTTCGACCGACATGTCTTCCAAATCTTGCTTGAATTTTGCAATGACTTCGGATGGGATCGAGCGACTTTTGACAGGATTCTTGGAATTTCTGATGATTTCCCGGAACAGTCTCCGTTCCTTCTCACCGACAAGAGATACTGAGCGACCAACGCGACCTGCTCGGGCTGTTCGACCCACTCGATGAATGTAATGCTGGAAGGAGTTCGGAAGCTCGTAGTTTATCACTGTTTTAACTCCGTAAATGTCCAATCCACGGGCTGCGACGTCAGTGGCGAGTAAAACGTCGTATTCGTCCTCCTTAAAGCGCTTGAGAGTATTGAGTCGCTCTATTTGGTTCATATCACCGTGCAATTCCCCGGCTTTAATACCAAGAAGGCCGAGAAGCACGTGGAGGTGATGTGCTCCTTTCTTCGTTGGCACGAATACGATCACGTGGTCATGAAAGGTTCTGGTGAGCAATGCGGCGAGAATTGCCTCCCGGTCATTCTGTAAGATTTTTCAACAACAAAATTATCAACGTATTCACTTGCATTCAATCTTCATTTCTCATGTCAAAAGATTCGAAAAAATTTCTTCTGGGAGTAAAAAACGCATTTCGAACAAAAATTTGATTCACGCTAATTTAAATTTTTAAATTTTGTCAATTTTGCCACTCAATTCGAGGGAAAAAGTGCGTTTCATCATCGAACAAATACGCTAACCAAAATTGAACACTTTGAATGTTCAGTGAATCACCTCCTGATTTTTCCGAATTTTGATGAACTCCTGCTGCAGATTTTCAGCCACAGATTGATTCGAATCTATAAAAATCTTGACAGGTCTCTTCAAAGATAACGTTGCGAGATCTTCCACAGACTCTGTCATAGTAGCAGAGAACAACATTGTCTGTCGCGTTGGACTACATTCCTTGATGATCTCGTTCAACTGATCCGCAAAATGTTCATCCAACATACGATCAGCTTCATCAAGAATTAACAACTCAATGTCATCCAGGTGGAACGTGGGGGTGTTGTGGATGTGGTCGATCAATCTACCCGGCGTGGCAATGACGATATCTGGATTCGACCGAAGCGAGGCTTCTTGTGCTTTGATGTCCAATCCACCGACGGAAAGTCCGATTTGAATGCGCGTGAATTGCGAAAGCTGCTTTGCAACTTGGAAAACCTGAACGCCTAATTCACGCGTAGGTACGAGAACCAGGACTCGGGTAACCGCTGTCCCCGATGAACCATGGGGTTTAAACAGAAGTCGTTCGAGAATTGGCAGCATGTAGGCTGCAGTTTTTCCTGTTCCGGTAGCTGCACATCCACAAATGTCACGACCAAGCAACCCAACAGGAATAGCAGCTGCTTGTACCGGAGTGGGCGTAACGAAATTCATGGCCGTGATTGCCTAAAGAAAGACGGCACTAAACACTTTGTAACAGTCCAATCCGATTTAAAACCAATTATTCAATTACAAAAAAATAGTGCTCTGCTCAATGAATAGTACCAGTGCGTCTAGGCTAGACACAGTTTTTCTGTACGTTTTCGGTAAGCAACGACCAAGCTGATCTCTCATCCAAATATCCGAGAGATACGCGTGTCCGTTGAAATCCAGCCCATAGAAATTCATTCAAACGCTCGATTTTAGCATACAGTACTATTCCAGCTTCTTCGCTGATAAAAGTTCAAATAACACATTAAACCACTAACTACAGAACTACGAAAAAACCGGTTTGACTGGATTCAAGTACTGTATTTTGAAGAAAGTTAGTTTACTTCGAACCACCGCATTGATTAATCACATTTTTTCTGGAATCAATGACTCAAAATATATCACTGGGCTAGGAATACGACATTCTGGCTTTAAAATCTCATCGAAGCAGACGGAAGATTTGCATCTACAGCACATTGCAAAGTTCAGTTTTGGAAGACTTACTTTCAAGAGAGGCCTGGAGAGGTTCATTTGATGAAAGGACGAAATTTGGCCGAATTGCTTATTTTTCTCAAAATATCCATCATCGTCTTCCACTTTGACTCCCGCTAAATCACCACTCCGTTGCGGACGTTTTTTCCCCTTCTTATCTTTCGTCGAAACCACGTCATAACTTTCAGACATCAAATGATCGGCGTCATCTTCAACTTCAACATCCGGCATAGCCATCGTGAGATCATCGTCCTGAAAAAAAATTGAAACATTTCCAAGTCGGCCACGAGCTAGACGCATTTTCCTGCTTACTTGCTGTCGTTTCCTGGAAACGGTTGAGGCCGCAATACGTTCATCAATCGAACGCTTCACATACTTCTTCTCCTTCACATATTTCGCAAGTTCGGACCAGGAGTCATAATGATATTCGTCAATGTTGCCGACAAAGTGGAATTTATTGTCAAAATCACCCTTAGCCTGTTTCGATAAAACTGAGGGTTTCGTTTTCTAAAATAAACCACCATGTTAATTCAAAATATATTCCCAGAATTCGTTTCGCTTGTTTCTTACATCTACGTCGGATTCATCCTCAGAGTTGTCCTCTTCAACATCCTCGTCGTCGGCAATGGTCTTCACAAGATCCATAACTTCGCAATTGATGAATCACAGACACATGTAGTCTAGGAATAACGCAACAATTTTACAACTCTGGACACCGTCAACCAAGTGCATCAGTCAACAGGATACGCAACGGCACGACTGACAATTGCGAGGTGGTTGAGAGCAGCAAAGAAAAATTCCTCGAAAAATAATTAGATGTCGCCGCTATTACTCCATTTTAGTTTTAACTTTCTGTGACGGTCCTTCAGTACGGATAATTGATTCTGGTCATTGAACAGCAGTAATACCATGCAGTGAATGCCACTCGTAATTTTCGTGGTTCAACTCGTACTTTTTCAGATATGAAACATCTGGATATCCAGA